TCTTTATTTGGATTACTAGACTTGAAATATTAAACCTTCAAAGTCAAATTCTCAGAAACCTAAAAATCTCACCAAATACAGACCACTCGCTTTCATATAAAAACACATCTTAATTTTAGCATGTTTGGATAAGTAAATCCAAAACCAGATAAAATCTATTTTTAAACTCAAGTAATACTCGTCTATTTTATCACAAACAAAATGCAGAAAACATTTCAAACTCCAAAAAAGTTACAACACTTTTCAATAACTTCATACATACATAAAAAACAAAAAAACATCATTGATAGAATAATTAACACAAGTTTGGTATCAAAGTTGTTCTTCAAAAGTTTCTCTCTACTAAGCAATGACAACGTTACAAAGATCAGCAGTTTCGTTCCGACGTCAAGGTTCTTCCGGTCGCATTTGGAGTGATCAGTTCATTTCTGATCCAAAAAATGGAGCAATTTTTCAAAATCAAGAACAAACAAGTCAACAATCTGTAAATAATGATCTTGAAGATAACATTCGAATTGAAAAATCAAACTCTTCATCTTCTTCGCCTGCTCCGTATTTTTCTGAAATACGTCGAGGACCAGGATTTTCACCTTCCACACGAAGCAAACCTGGTTGTGGTTTATCATCATTTTTTCGACAATGTATTGGTTCTTCGGCTCGTGTATAACCTCTTTTTTTTTTTGTTCCCCTACAAATTTGTAAATATATATGGGTCTAAAGTTTTGATAAAAGCCCAATAAATAATGTTTAGTATTCGGCCCAAATCTAAAGCTGGATAAAAATGTATTTTACCAAATTTACCAGTAGCCGCAAAACGCAAACAAAGTGAAACGCCGAACCTCCGAATGCAAAATCACTCTCCGCCTTTTTCTTCTCCATATTCGAAAATTCTCTGTCTCCTTCTTTCCTTCTCGACTCTGTCTTCTACTTCTCGTCTCCGTTCATCGCCATTCATCTTCAGTCCTGTCTTTAAACCGGAGAATTTAAGAGTTTCGCCGGAATTTACTCTGTTTATGTACGATTCGCCGATGATCAAAGTGCATCTTCCCGATTCTGTTCTCGTTTCAGAGATCTGAGTACCCAATTTCATCTGTTGCACTTCGTTTCTCGGGAAAATCAAGAGTGCCGGAGAGTAGGTTTGATATGCTTCGCCGGGAATTTGTTTTTGTTCGTTTTTCTAGTGATTGTTTTTATGGGGAATTTTGTCTCCTTACTTCGGATTTCGATAATTTAATTACTTTTGATTTGTTGTGTTAATGAAATTTGATATTTTTTTGCAGCAATGAAGCGGATAAGAGATGATGTTTATGCCTCTGGGTCTCATTATAGACGTTCTTTGATCCCTTCTCGAGGAGAATTGTGAGTTCCTTTTAGGTTACTTCAAAATCAAATCAATTGCTAATATATATTGTTCGTTGCTTTGACAGAGATTTGACAATTTTCTTACTTTGATAAAGTCTTTTGCTTTCTAGGTATCTGTAAGCCATTCTGTAGTTGATTTCGGCTTAACTGTGTTGTTCATCTGTTGCGATGGGTTGATCTTAGTTCTGTTTTGAAGCAATTAGGTTTTTCTGTAATTTTGCATGGGAAGTGAAAGAATTTGTTAGAAGCAATTTATGATTTGAGTAATTTAACTAAGTGATTAGAGACTATTTGGTGCAGGTATGGACGATCTCCGGTCCCTGGCAGTGGTGACACTGAAGAAGAAGGAGGTGGGGAGGGAGGGAGAATAGCTGGCGGGGAATTTACCTCTCAGAAATTGACAACCAACGATGCGTTGTCGTACCTGAAGAACGTCAAGGAGATGTTTCAAGATCAAAGGGAGAAATATGATAGGTTTCTCGAGGTTATGAAAGATTTTAAGGCTCAAAGGTAAGGTCTTTGACTTTTCTATTAGGTTTAAACTGTTGAGTGTTGAGGTGTAAATTAATAAGGGTCGTTCGAATTGATTCTTTGCAGAATCGACACAGTCGGTGTGATTGCACGAGTTAAGGAATTGTTTAAGGGACATAACAATTTAATATATGGATTTAACACCTTTTTGCCAAAGGGTCATGAAATAACGCTTATTGAGGAAGATGAAGCTCTGCCAAAGAAGACTGTTGAATTTGAAGAAGCCATAAATTTTGTGAATAAAATTAAGGTGCTGTTGAAAATTTGCTTTTATCCTTCTCTTATTAGGTTGCCCTTCCACCTAGTATCTCAATGTACGAGTCTATCTATTGTCACTGCAGAAGCGATTCAAGAATGATGAGCATGTCTATAAATCTTTCTTGAAAATCTTGAATATGTACCGAAAGGACAACAAGGAAATTAAAGAGGTTTACAATGAGGTAGTTTACTTCTCTCCTGTAATGCCACTTCAAAGGTTTTTGAACATTTTTTAACTCTTAGATTTGGTGCTTTAGGTATCTATTCTCTTTGAGGGCCACTCGGATTTGCTTGAAGAGTTTACTAGATTTTTGCCTGCGTCTTTACCGTCTCACTCAGCAGCGCAGTATAGCCGGAGTCAGGCCCAACGGTATAATGAACGAGCATCTGGCCCTCTAATTCGTCAAATGCAAGTGGATAAGGTACTCTATAAGTTTCATAATTTTTACTTGTCCTACGTTTTTTTTGTCAGCTATCTCAATTTTGTGCCTGGTACATTTTTCCATCACCAGGAACGTCGACGAGAAAGGGCTGTTGTTTCCCGGGGTGATTATAGTGTTGATGATAAAATGATGGTGAAGATGCAAAGAGAGCAGCGCAAGCGTGCTGATAAGGAGAACAGAGAAAAGAGAGGCTGTGATTTGGACGATAGAGAAGCAGAGCAAGATAATCTACACCATTTTCCAGGAAAAAGGAAGTCATCCCGTAGAGCGGAAGGCCTTGAAGCATATTCTGGTTCTGCTTCGCATTCTGAGAAAGATAATTTGAAAAGTAAGCCAATTCTCCTGTCAAAAGTATGTGTATTTGCTTGGTCCCTTTTCTATTTACAAGGGTCCCATATATTGGATGCTTTAACTCTTTCTTTTCAAGATAATATTTATTTCCCAATTTTGGCTGCCTGGTGATTTTTATGGTGCGAAGAATCTGTTTCTGTTTGCTAAGATGTTTACATCCTTTGTGCTAGGCATGTACAACCAAGCATTTGTTTTCTGTGAGAAAGTCAAAGAGAGATTATGCAGCCAAGATGATTATCAGTCATTCTTGAAGTGCCTCAATATGTTTAGCAATGGAATAATTCTAAGGAAGGATCTGCAGAATT